TCTGAAGTGTCCTGGCAAAGGCCTGAGTCCAATTCTGGAATTTTTAGTGGACCCATAAGCAGAATAATAAACCCCATTTTCCTGTCTATTTCTGAGATATTTGCCTAGAAATGTCACGCCTGACACAATATAAGCCTGTCTGAGAAAAAAGTTATCAAGCTTCATGATGTTGTTAGACTACTGTTTTTTGTCTCTTCTTTCCATAAAATCTCCCCTCCTAGAACTGTGCTTTAATTTAATTTTTTTTTATTGTATTATTTTAAGGTTGGCCATTTTCTTTGATTTTTGCCACTGCTTTGGGTAAACAAGCTTAAAAAATTAAATGTTATAGCAACAAAACACAAAAAGGCAACTAAAGACAGTACTACATTTACTTCAGTATTTCGTAATTTTTGCTTGGATTAGCAGTGTTTGCAAAAATAAAGCCACGTTTGCCATGCAATTTGCAAAAATATCTAGAAACCTTGGGGAGGCGGGGGGGGGACCTGAACCAAAACCAAAAACCTTAGCAGTATTGACTAATGGCCATAGTAACAAACTTTAGGGGTTTTTAGATTTTTATAGTGTAATGTATTACCACCTCTGTTCATGACGTGGTCTCATTTTTTATTGCTGTTATTTGTATTCCATTTGTATTTGCTCACTATATACAGCACTGCACTCCTGTTGAATCCATTCAGAAGAGCTTCTACCCTACACCCTACAGGAGTGCTGTCCTCATCAATAACCTTCTTAAGATTACTGAAAACGTTTAATCTTTTGATAAAGGGAACCAAAGGCATTTTTATTCATGCGTTGGCGTGAATCTTGGCAGCATGTCAACATGTGTTCTTCATCGCTTCGTTGCTGTGCTTTGGTGCCAAGTTGTTTATAGTTACCACATCAGATCTTCAGAAATTCTTTGCTGAGTCAGTCTTTCCTTTTAGTGTTCTTTCCCCTCTTATTTTCTGCATTTGACTGCAAGAGTTTGATTCTTTTCAGGTACCGTATTTTAATTTTTTTTCTTTAACCATATTTCTGTGCAAATGGGTAAGATTTGCAGATATACCAATTGCTTTTCTAGCAATCTTTAAATCAGAAAATGGTAGAAGACCTGCATCTATGTTGCTTTGAGCTGAGTTAGGCTGTGGAGGTTTTGAGAATACAACTCTTGCTGCCTATGTCAAAACATGTTTTAAAAATCTCTAATGACTAAATCAGGAATGAAATTTGGAAGTCAAAAGCGGCATTATCTCAGCCAGTGTGGTTTAATTTGTTAGATTTATGGTTGCCAAGTAGAAAACTATCCTTCCTTAAATTAAATAAAACTGTTTTCAACACAAGAGCAGTGAATTAATTGCAGTTTATTTTATGACAACGCCTGTACTATGGCTTATTTGCCAGATTGAACTTTGCATGATTTTTGACCAAAATTAACCAGTTCACAAGTATTTAGTCACAGGTTAGCAATTGTGAGCTCTAAAATTAGTCTCTTCACTATTATTAGTTAGTATCTCACTGCGGCTCTGAAGTTTGCAAGCCTTTAAAATATTCTGACTTAGCTCAGAAACTTGAGTGCTTATTGGCAAAGATGATACAAAATACAGTTAATTTTCTGGCCTTAGCTTGAAGCATCTAGACTTAGCATCTCCTCATATTTATTTACAGTAAAGCTCTTCAATAATAGTAAATGGGCTCTCCTAGGTGTCCAACTGCTGTTCTAACTTGCGTAGTTAGTATTGGGTAGGCCCAGGGTAATTGCAATTCAAGAAAAAAATCCTGTCCATTCTTTATTTCATGCCTTCAAAGACTTAAAATTTACTCCTTGCTCTTCTTACTCCAGCTAGTGATGAGTTGAGGGTATGAAGTTGCATTTGAAGTTCATCTTAACTGCTGTGAGAGGTGTAGGCTGGCTTTCCACTTGCCCTTGGCCACATGCTCCTTCCTCTGCCCTTGTATTGCAGCGGTGCAGCTCAGGCAAGGTTTAGGCAAGCTCACTGGTCAATAAAGAACTGTGTCAGTTTTGCACCAAATTCTCTCACCACAGCTGCTCTGCAGCTGTGTGATTGCTACATCAAGCAAGAAGAAAACACAGGGGTGCAAGAGAATGGGGACTGTCCCAGACAGCATCAGCCCGCTGTTACATGGGTTTGGTACTCTAAGGTAAAAAAATAACTTGAGTATCTCTAGATGCCTTCCAATCTTGTTAGGTCTACAGGTTTTTTTCTTGACTGCATGTGGTTTTTGCTTGTCTAAATTTCTACATCGGAGGCTTTTTATTTGGTCCCCATGGAAGGAACATGTACTCTGCTTTTTTAAAATCAGTTGATCCAAACAAACTAAGCTTAAACTGTCTGATAAAGAATTTTTATAACATTTTTCTCAGTGAAAACTTAAAACCTGGTTTTAATGCAAAAATATGTATATACAAATGAATGCACTTGCTGCTAAATCTGACTATAATGTGTATACACAAACGGAGCCGCATGTTAAACATGTACAAGGAAATAACAGCAAATCCTCTTGTGTGTGTACGGAGTAATGTAGGTCTATACTTTTTCAGACGGTGGTCCAAAAATTCCTTCTGTTTTAAGCTACCTGTTAACATATGTTTAATATGCCTTCTTCTGTATTCCACAGTGCTTTCCACCTTTCTGGAGCATAATACCTTGTTTTATTTTTATTTTTTCCATATTGTCATGCTATGTAATAGTTCCAAAATACGAAATTTTTAACAAACTTTGAGATACTATATAACTTTTCTTAAGGTAAACATCTGTTTGAAAATATCTTGCAAAAATGTGCTTCATCGAATGATTTTAAAATATTTAAATTCAAATCATTATAGTTTAATGTGGTTCTAATAGTAGTACTTGCACCATTTGATCTTAAAATATCCACTTATGTTGTGGTTGCTGTTCTGATGAACTTGCCTTTCAGTATCTAACATTAAGTGTAATACTGTAATTGGCTGCACATGACCAGAACTGATGTATATGAATTGAATAGTATCATGAGAACCTTTAATGTTATAAAATTGTATAGATATTCTCATAGATCAGTGTTGTCTGTGTCATATATAAAAAATGTGCTAGAGTTAAGAATACACCATCTTTTTGGGTAGATCTCTGTTCCTTAAAACATACAAGAATCTGTTAGTTTCACTTCATTTCATTTAAGTGTTAATTGCCTTAAGAAATATGGTGTCCTAAATTGGATATTTTTTTCTTCTCTCATGATTTGGATACCAAAAATAAGGAGGTCCTCTTCCGATTTCAAGAAAGTAAAGTTTACTGAAATTCTTTGCATTTTAAGGGTCAAATTTAAATGTTTGAGATTAATGGAATTTTCACACACACCGCCAATAAAAATTCCTCCTTTGAAGGAGGCTGGAGACTACCAGGGCCTGTCCCATTTCAGAATAGCCACCCTCTCTCGCTGTTTACAATTAGGACCGAGGCCACGGGTTTTCCTTACTAAAGGTGGTTTCTGTGTTTGGTGGTTGTTCTTAATCTACATGTATGTAGCGTGGGCAAGTAGGGATGGTGTTGTAGAAGAAAACAGCTGGCAATGACACATCAGTGTGCACATTATATGTGGTTTGGGGTGGTACTGTAGAGCAGTTCGAGTATCAGTGGATTGAATTCCCAGTATTTGCTGGAGGACGCTAGGTCTATTCATGGTGTTCATCTTCCCATACGATTTCATCTTAAAAAAATCCAGTTGAGGGACTCGGATTGCTTTGACATACAAACCAAAGCAAGATAATTGGGAGCTTGGTTTCAGAACCGTATTTGTGTTCTGAACTAAAATACATGGTTACTCATTTTCATGAAAGCACAGAGCATCGCTGTTTTCAAGGGTAGCTTAGCTTCACCTCATTCGGCTGATAACCAGCAGGAAGCAACAGGAGGCTTTTTAGAAGCTTTAATTTTATCTAAAGCAACAGGAACTGATGGCTATTTGATAGAGAGGATTTAACATATGTTAACAGATTAAAAATTTAAAAGGAAAATCATATGTTTAAGTAATTGCACTATATATCCCGTATGCATATACACAGAAATACTGCCTTTAAAAATAAATAAAAAAATGACCTCTGCCAGTTGCTTTGGACAGAGAAAAAGAGTAAAGGAAGGCTGTGTAGGAAAGTGGAAATAGAAGAAAGGAGTATCTACATTCTATTCACTGTTTGTATTTCCAGAGTGACATTGTGTAGTCGGGGTATACTGGTAAATCTCCCGTCCTGAAAAAGAAATTATAATAAAGTAAAAAATTAATGCTGATACTTAGTGTTTCCACATCCAGTAGTATTGCCATGTGGAAACAAGAATTGGGGCTTTTGGCATTTTGAGACACGAAAAAAGCATCTTCAAAAAAACGAACAAACCCACCAAAAACCAAACTCCTCTCCATTTTCATGTGATTTTGAGCAAAAGTACCATAATGCTTCTGTGTAATGGCTAATGCAGTGTGTTGCTAAAAGATACATTTATATCATGTGTTTTCAAAGTACATTTTTATAGATGAAAACAGGTGGTGGGGGAGTGTTCTAGCACTTCATTTTTGGTGTCATCTGAATTGCCTATGACTCTCTGCCCTTTAATTATTGGTAATTCCTTTTTGGTGAGATTGGTGTAACAATGTTTTTCTCTACAAAGCAAAAGTATTTTGTCCTTGAATTATATTTTTTAAAATACTAAGTTGAAATAACACTTGTACTACAAGGTAGTTAATATGGACTATTCTCTCCACTTTTTTTTTTCCCTTGAGCATTTCTGTCTTGTTAAAGAAGATACAAAAGTCTGTGTCAAAGTAATGGTTAAAATTCTGCAATTTCTGGCTCTAAGCCCTGATCTCCACTAGACTCTGCTGCCATGAAGCATGTTTGTATTTTTTATGTCTAACAAGAAAAATAACACTTTATTTTTAATTTTTAAAATGTTTAAAAGTGTCACTTTGATGTAATGTATTCCCACCTATTAAAATGTTCTGCATTTTAACTAGACACTTTATTCCAGCAATCCATCAAAAACTGGAAGCGGATGGAACGGAAAAAGTAGAAGGATCCATGACGCAAAAACTGGAGAATGTACTGAACAGTAAGTTTTGTCCTTCCAGCAGCAACTATTTATGGACTTGGGACTTTCTAAGAAGCTTTAGTATATTCCTAGGAATATGGTAGAAAGTAGAAAACTGTACAGTCTCTCTTACCTTTTCCTGTTTGATGGTAGTGATTTTAGGGTGCACCCTTTGAAATAAGTGGGACCTTTTTGCCATGATTTTCAGTGGTGCTTGTGATAACAAAGAGAATAAATGTAAAAATAAAGGAGTTCTAAAGCACTTCAAATTAATTGTGGTGGCATCTCAATTTTAAGTGTACAAAGAAAACAGAAACTAGATAGATAGGATAGACACTGTAGAAGGATGAGCAAAACTAAATACCACAATTGTAAAACATTTGTGGAAAAGAGGAAAAAACCAAAACATAAATGCAAACTGTAATGAACAGAATCTTTTTCACTTAATGTGCTGCCATTTAGACTACTTGGAATAAGCATTCTTTTAAGAAACTTTGAAAAGCTGTCAGTACTTTCTTTTCTGTTTCTCTGTACTGGCTGTAGGATTGCATTGAGAGAGATGGCTTGAATTTACTGCAGTTTGGTATGTGTTTCATCAGATCAAAAAAGTTACTTTTTTTAATTCTGGGACTTCTGCCAACATAATTTTACTTTGTTTCATTGTGATTTTTTTCACAGAGGAAGGGATGTTTCCCTTAGTGCTGTATCAATAAGCAGGAATGACATGCAGATAGCTGACTCAGTGTTGGAAAGTCTGAGTGTGTTTTATGAAATCAAGAAAGTGACATGGAAGTTCACTGTTTTTCTTCTCTTGTGTGAAGAAAGCAGTGACTGTATGTGTGTTTGTGTGGGGAGCACAAAGAAAGCGGGGGGTTTTGTGAACAGCTCTAGCTCTTTTCAGTAGAGATTCATTAATGCTCACAATAAAGGTGTAATTTGAACATTGTTATTCCCCCATCTTGTTGCCTGCAATTCAAAAAACCAAAAAAACTCCCCCAAAAAACTCACATACACGCTATATAACGACTATGGTGTGTGTTTGTAGAATATTGTATACATTTAGGGTTGGAGAAAAAAAACATTTTCTGAAATGTGCCAGTGCAATCCTCGATGCTCTGTGCTCTGTATTTATGCCATGTCATGCACCAAGCACAGATTCACTGGAGAACACTTTCTCTTTTACAAAATTATGTGTCAGATTTTTAAATAGAAAAAAAATTAGGTCTGTGATTTTTTTTTTTTTTTTCCTACAGACACTAATATGAGAAAAATCTACCTATAATATAGAATCTACCTATAATGTATAATCATGTCTCATTTGATAAATGGTGGCTGAAATCTGTATGCAGATAATGCAAACTGTCCTTTTCAAGCTGGATCCGTAGAGGAACTTGTGCCAGGCACTTCAGAGTGGTATTAAGTTTGGCTCTGCTGTGAAAAGAATTGGCTGCTTTTCCTCCTGATACTTTGCAAGTCATGATGGGTGGGAGGCAGGGCAGTAGGAATACAAGGATTTAAAAAGAGTAAATAATATTATGCAAAGTAGTTTGGGATCAAAGCTTTGTTTCTTGTCTGACCATTGAAAAGCTTCCATAATCCATGAGTAACAGGACCTGCTTTCAAAAATGACTTAAAATCTTTAGTCGAATTTTACATTTTATGGACTCTAGGTGCATATTTTGAGAGACAATTGGTGTTGTGAGCTTGATTACAAACTCCTAAGTATAAGGAAGTTTTCCACAGCATCTAAATATATGTCAAGAGTGTTATATATTATTGGATTGAAGTGGCATGGGATAGTAGAAGCACATTCTGGTGTTATAGGTGAAATTGTAAATGTCTGGAGTATTTGTTAAATGTAATTGCTAAACAAGCTATTACATTTATTTATAGAAACATATGGTGTGCTATAATGAATTTCAGGAAGAATTGTATCTTCAAGGAGGTTAATCAAATTCTGTTATGTGGTGGTTTTGTCAGGCTTTATGAAAGACAACTGTTGGATAACTAGAGCTTTATTTTGAAGTACACAGTAGATGAATCTTCTATTTTGAAAACATAGTCAGTATAGGAATTGAATCTTTATCCATGGACTTGATTATTTAGATTTAGATTATTGATCAGTTTATCAGAGATGAAGATTCTTAATGTAGAGAGGATTTGGAGGGGTCAGGAGGGGAGGAATTTTACAATACTTTTTAAGCCTAAAAAGGCAGACCTGTTTTGCATGAAGTATTGAATTTCATTAAGACCCTAATAAGTAATTTTATATATTTCATTTTTGATGTAAAACAAAGTACCTATAGAAAAAAAGTAAAATAATGTACCTGAATTTCTACAGCAAATTAATTCCTAGAGAGATGAAGGTACGTAGCAATAAACTAAAGATGGAAATCATTGTGCTATTCCCACAGTTGTCAATTACCTTTTAAAAACACTTGTACTGAATTTAAGAAAATGCTTTGTGAATATAATTTTAATTCCTAGATACAGTACCTGGCTTTTTGGCTGTTAAAAGAATGGACAAGAAACATATGAATTCACGCAAAACAAATGTTACTTACTAGAAGGATTTAAAAAACAAGCATTTATTATAACCTTAAGAGAAAAATCGTACTTTATCAGTGGTCTGTATTTAAATGTGCAGCTAGCTGTTTTCATTGTGTATTTCTCCTTAATGGATTAAAGTATTCTATGCTAAATAGTATGCGGTAGAAATAGCTATCCTGACAAAACATTTTTTTACATCAAGGCTTCAAAATTTCAACAAAGTTTAAACATTATTTAGATATAACAATTATTTTACAAAGACTACTTTTAACATGAGCAGGCCACCCACAGTGTTGACTAGAGAAAATGGCATGCAAGCCACCCAGCGAGACTGATGTAATTTTTTTTTTCATCTTTGCTTAAAGTATAGTCACTAGACCAGATAATGTAGAAACTTCTACACGCAATGATCAAAAAGGCTAAAACAGTCCCACTTTTTTTTTTTTGTTAATTAAAAATAAGTCACAAGTTGAAAAATGCAAATATTCACATACAATGTAAATCCTCCCTATTGTAAATGAAATTTATTATTCCGTGTTAGGAAGTTATCCTTATTACAAAATAGAATGCTTTTTAGCCTGGATAGAGAAGGTTTTAAGACTATATTTAATGTAGGTATTAAAGAATATTCACAGATGGTATAAAAACTTAATTGCATGAAGCTGTTGTCCAAGGCTTGATCCTTTATGCAATGAAGCCAGTAAGACTTTTAATGCAATATGAAGACATTTTGTATTCGTTCTGTTACAGTGACCAGCTATTAGACTTTTTTCACCCATGCCATAGACTTTGACTTAATCATTGATACTTTTAAGTGATTCAAATATCAAATGTTGTTAATAATTTTTTAAACTTAATTTGAAAACACAAAAAAAAATTGTTTGCAAAACCAGTGATAACTCTTAGAGCTACAACACTAATTAATATAATGAAATTATACTTTTCTAAAAAGAAAACTTTCTATGACTTTTTTCCATATCCTGAGATGCATAATTTAGTTGTAAAATGTAGATCGGGAGCCAAAGCAAACTATAAAATATCTGCAGCACAGTTAAGCATTTGAAATAGGAAAGAGTGATTGTTTTTAATTGCACATGGGTCTTACCACATTAAAATGCTAAGTGTTTCACTTTGAAATAGTATTTCATCAGTTGTAAAATGTTAACACAGTTGAACAGGAAAGTATAAAAATTGAGCAATAATTACTCATTTGCTCTAAAACTTGAATGAGTCATTAAAATGGAGAAAATCTGTATGTCATTTGAACTGTTTACTTACTCTGCTTTTTCTTATTTTCATCCTTTTTAAAATAGGAGCCAGTAACACAGCAGATACCTTATTCCAAGAAGTGCTGGGTCGCAAGGACAAAGCTGATTCAACGAGAAATGCACTTAATGTTCTTCAGCGTTTTAAATTTCTTTTCAACCTTCCTTTAAATATTGAAAGAAATATCCAGAAGGTACAATCCTTTAAAAATGCTTTTCTGTTTTCTGAGATTAGTCTGTTACCTTTTTCTTGACAAATATAAATTTGTTGTTCGCTTGTGTGTGGTTTTTCTCTTTTGTTTTTTTTAAGGGCGATTATGATGTGGTTATTAATGACTACGAAAAAGCCAAGTCACTTTTTGGAAAGACAGAGGTTCAAGTATTCAAAAAATGTAAGATGCTGTTTCTGTTATTTGCTTTTCTTTTTTTTTAACTTGCAGGCTAAAAAACACATAGTAATCTAAATAGCTTTATGTAGGCTTTATATGGATTTTAATCCATAAAAATTATGGATTTATAGGAACCAATTGCTCTAAGCAGTATTTCTGGCAAGTTTTCTGAGTAAGGTATATACTACAAAATGTGAAATGACAGCAAATTTTATTAAGAATTAGTATTACTGGACATAAAAAAGGTTACAGTAACTAAAAAAGTGACCTTGGGTTTCTCTCACTGGCATATTGTTGGAAAGACTTCAAAGTCCAATTTTCTGTTCTTGTAGAACTGGTGTATTCAAAATTTTCAGATGTGGCTTGTTAGAAAATAAAATTATATTGATTTCCACTTTAACTCCAGAAATGTCTAATGTGCTAGAAAAATAACGTAATTTTCAGTTCATACCACTGCCAAAGGCACACATTAGGTTTATTTCCTCTCCCTACTCCTAGATTATGCTGAAGTTGAAACCAGAATTGAAGCTTTAAGAGAACTTCTGTTGGATAAGCTGCTTGAAACTCCGTCAACATTGCATGATCAGAAACGTTATATAAGGTAATTATTTGACTGGTGGTGTTGAAGACATATGGTGTTTAAATGTGTATTTAAATCTGTGTCCTAAATAGGGTAGTGACTTTTTTCACTACAGTTTAAATACTAATTTTAAAGCTGTTAAGTAAAGTATTTCGAAATTTTTGTGATTATATAAATAATGGCAATGGATTGTTTCTTGATTGTTTATTTAATGATTGAGAACCGGCTTTTGAATGAGAGCAACTGAGATTGAATTTAATTTTTTAAAATCTTTAAGGCATGTTTAGGTTCTGTTGCTTCCTGTAAATCATCGTATTGCAAGCTATGTATGAAATGATTGCTCACAGGTTGCAGATCTTAAAATAGATTCCTTATTAACTTGTTTTACACTCCGGCTTGACTTGGTGTTGAAATAGAATCATCTTGAGTCAGATAATAGGGAAGGTTTAATCCAAACTCTGATTTAAATTTGGATTTGGCTCTTTTATTACTCAGTTTAAATAATGTAGTTCCTTTATATTTCATGAACATGAACCAGTTCCCCAGTTTTCATTGAAATTCCTAGGTTTTCTATCATTCGCAAAGCTGATGTAAAAGTCTCTGTAGATGTACTGACGTGAATTGGTTGTACCTTTTTCTACTGGTAGATCTGAACCTCTTTTACAGTCATTGGAGCCACATTTTAGTGTGCTCTGGAACTTCTGGTGGCTTTACATAGAAAGCTTTTGAGTTTTGCATTGACTTGACATTCTCGGTGATTTTTTTCAGTTATTTTAAAAAATGCCCTGTGTGAGAAGTATTCTTAAAATTCTGACACCTACATGATGTCTTCAATGTTTTGTATGCTTACCAGGCCTGGTTGCACAGGATAAAGTGCGGTTTTGGTATCTTAGGTCCCTTTATGTTGTGTTAGTTTATGAGGACAAGGATCAGTGTACCTTTACGTAGAGTGCTTCTCCTTCGTGGGGAAGCTATATAAATATTGCCTGTTTACTGGAATTGCATCTTAACGTGAGTAGTTAAGCATTCTGTGTCTCTAAAGAGGGCACTACTGTTTCTTTTCTAGACCAGTCTTCAAAACCTTACAGAGCAGCTTATTTATCTAACCCAGGTCTTATGACCGCTTCTAAGGATTCTGTGGAAGATGAGAGTTGTGGATGTGTTTGATTCTGGGTTGTGGTTTCTTGAGAGTTTTGTTTTGGGTTTTTTTGTTATTTATCTTTAGCACCTTACCTTGAAGTACTGAATCTTTAAAAATATTCCAGCCTATGTTACACCCAAGGTATTTTGCATGTCAAAGAGTATAATGAAGAAGAGCGGGGAGTGGACAAATGTGGAATAATTTGATTCTCATGGATTAACAGAATCCCAGCCTAGAAAGTGATTAAATTAGTTTAACTACTCTAGATATGCTAATGTGGTTATACTAGTGTAAATTTGCTGGAGGCAAGGAGTGAAGAAAGCTTTCTTCAGAACACTTCAGCTGAGAGGATATTAACAAAATCCTAATTGCAAAATTATTTGCATAAAATCTGCTATTTGTATGATGTTCCTTGATATGTTTGTTTTATATGTCTCCAATGTCTAAGGCTGAGCAAGAACTGAAATACTGTGGTTTCCCCCCTCAGATATTCAATGTTTATCTTTATAATTAGGTTTCAATTCATATTTTCCTCTATTTTATTATGATATTTGCACTGAAAATTATTTTATACTGTTCAGAAACAGTTTACCATATCACTTAACAGCAAAGTAGATGTATTTTTTTCCAACACCAGTGGTAATTTTTGTTTTTATTTTGAGTCTAAGTGAAGACTAAATCGCCCTCAACACTGAGGAGGGACTTGAGCTCATAATTTATAAATGTCACTCTATCAAAATGGGTGCTTGTGTAATGTTCTCATGCATCCAACCGATCGTATTTGGCAGTTTATTTTTTGTTCAAGTACTGCAGACAGTTCTCAAATAAGACAGAATTTTGCAACGTGGTCCTATTTAACGTTAGTTATTATTGTAGTAATACAGCTTTTGTGAAGGAGTTATACATTCCCTGCATTGCTTAAGATAATAAATCAGTGTGCTTCACCTTGAGCATCTTGGATTTTTGAACCTGTCTCGAGTTTTATTAATGCACAATGTAATGGAGTGCATTAAATAGTAGAGCAGCCACTGCTTTTTGAAAATACTGTTTTGAAAGTACTGTTGTCAGATAGTCTGGAATGTCATACATTAGACTATATTCTGTGTTCTCTTCAAAATTGCAACAGCTGGTTTCTAATAATTCTCTCTCCCCAAAGACAGAGGGGGTTGTGCTTCTGTGTATTAGAAGCCCCAATTCTTTTCTTTGTCTCCTACCCCCCCTTTTTTTTCCCCTAACTGTGTGTCCACATCCTAATGCAAAAAAAAAAACCACCCTCAACAACAAATCCAAAAAAATCCATAAAAAGAAAACACAAAACCCCAACCAGGAGCTTGGTTTACATTTAGCATGCGTATGCTAAAATGAATGAGCCACCAAAAATTAATTCCTTCTGTACGTACTTGTTAAGGTTACATGATGATACAATCAGGACATATAAAGCGGGAAGAAAAATACCATATTTTATGTGCTTGAGATGTCATCACTGATTCAAGTGAAACATGGTGTACTGAACTGCAACCTTGGCAGATAAAAAGCTTGGTTTCACAAGTATTTTACTAAAGGCACAACTGAAAATACATATTAATATGATATTAAATATAAATGCGTCTGTTTATTTCTACAAGTTTTTTTGATGGAATTTTGCCTCACTAAATGAGGGAGAATGCAAAGCTTGTGTTTGCATTGGGTATGAGTGTATCTTAACTACTCTTGAATTTTTAAAATTATGTGAAAAAAAAAAAAAAGTATTAGTACATCTTTGGTCTGTTTTAATGAGGCCTTCAGTGTGTCAAGTCAGAGCTGTGATTTTTGGCCTGGATTTTACAGATATCTTTCTGATCTTCATGCGCCTGGGGACCCTGCTTGGCAGTGCATTGGTGCTCAACATCAGTGGATTCTACAGCTCATGCACAACTGTAAGGAGAGCTACGTTAAAGAACAAAAAGGCAAGGATATATTTTTGTTTTAAATATATATATTTGACACTTTGGAATTTGGCATCGCCTTTTATTTGACAAGTTTTAGTGTACAAATGATATTTGGATTTTTTCCCATCAATTTTGATAGCTCTTTAGAAAGTTGAATACTGACTTGTATTTTTTTCTTTATTCTATTATAAAAACAAAACAGCAGTTGGAGTTTTCTTTTTTGTTTAATTTATAACTTTTAAGCTCTTCACATGGGAAAAGCATTAAATTTCAATCATTTATCTGAAGTTTACTGTCCTCTTGAAATACTTCTTTGAGGTCACATGAAGTTTGGATTGTTTTCTGAATTTGCCAGTTAGATTTCTTTGTCACAAGATATGCTGTTAGTTTATGGACATGCAGGGCATTGGGGCATAGTGGAATAATGTGTAATTTCTTCAAGGGCAGTGAATGATAATTCTTATTTCTTATTTTTTGCTTGTGTGCAGTTTCAAAATTCAGATTACACTGTTCAGGCACAGGATTTGGATTGGATCCAACTGTGAGTTGGATTAATGAGATATTTAAACAATGTTATATTAAGACCAGAATACTTAATTTTATTCTGTCTTTGCCTTTGCCAGCATTGCTCCTTAAAGAAACATGTGCTCATAGGTATTGTTTTCAGGTGTGCAGCAATTAGCCACCAGTTAATATGTTCTGTCACATTAGCATAGTTTCTATTAGTAAAATCCGAAAACTGGATTTTTAAATTAGAAAATGATGAGTAGTGCCTTGTTTCCCAAGAAGTCTTAGCAAGTTTGCTACCACTTCTGAAATGAGTAGGCATATTGGAATCTGGCCTTTCTTGGCTTATAGGTAATGCCCCTGTTTAGTGTAGTGCATGTGTATCCCAAACCAAATAACGTGTTCTCTTCTGAGAAACCACAAAAATTTTACTGAGTTGGAACTGCTGCAGAAATGTGCTGTAAAATTGCTGCAGGAGGCTTCAACTCTCATTAGCAGAGGTTACGACGTCAGGTATAGAGTTCACAGGGTGCATCGCATGTGGCAGTGATGTCAGAAAGTTTTAGCTTAAAGCATCCACAGACCATCTTTATTCCACAACATGGTGGGGAATGCTGTGGGACCAGCTGGAATACCAGGTTGGTTTCTTGGCCTTTTGGTCAAAATTCAGAACGTTTCCGAAACTTTGCCATCTTTGCTCCCTGTCAAAATCCTGAGACACCACCCTTAACCCCTCAACATACAGATATCAGGAACAAAACTCACTTTTAAAAACAGCCATGGTTTAGAATTCTAAGCTTGCTTTTTCTCCACTTGCTTGCAAAATGTTATATAGGCATCTTCTGGCTTTTTAGTGAGAAAAATAAGGACATGAAGATACTAAGTGGTTGAGACTTTTTTTGTTGTAACAGTATATGTAATTTTGATATGCAGGCTCCAGTAAACCAAGGGAAATGTGTCTAAATTCCTCAGCTTGTCTTGAAAATCTCAACCTGTTTGGTGTTTTTCTTGCAACAAATCTTCTTACCTCAGCCTTAATATCAAAGGGGCTATTATGTTAGCGGCTTGCTTTGGATCGCAGAAGAGGGGATTTAAAGAACTTGAATGCCCAGTAAATGCATGTATGAATTGTTAATATTTAATGCTTATATGAAACAAATGCTAATATTGCTTTTATTAAAGAGCTCATCAAATTTCAGTAAGTTTTTCCCAGCCTTTTATGTGATCCTTACTGATGTAGTTTTTGTACAGATTATGAAATACTCAAGTGATCCTAGTTGATATAATTTCTCACTTGGTATTGAGTAGGACAAAGGAACATTGCTGAACATGATTTTTCCTTTTCATAGACCTTTAATTTTGGCATACACCAGACAGAAGAAGGAAAAACTTGCAAGAATTGGTATTAACTGCCTAGCAGAACAATGCTGGTTGTGATCAGAGACACGGAATATATTGTTAATCTACTTTAATAGATGTATACTTTTCAAACAGGAAAAGTGTGGGCTTTTACTTAAATTGGTTATGCAAGACTTTGAGGAATCTAATCAACTTAAGTCAGAAATGTGGTTTATGTGTTTATAAAGTCACAGGCTATTTTTAGAAGAAAATAGTAATAATTTTTCAAACATTGAAGTCCTCCACTCTTGAAACATGCTTCCAAAAAAGATTATTTTGTATATCAAGCATTTGGAGGAAGAGTTGGGTCATAAGGTTGATACTCTAATGAAAAGGGCATTACATCTTTTTCTAGATTTCTCTTCTTAACGAGGGTGATAGATATTGTTTCTAGCAGATGCTATTCTGCTAGAATATTCTGCTGTATTGCAGATGCTGGAATAAGCAGACAGCAATTACAGTTCCACCTTGAACAATTTTTGGTTATTCTTAGCTTAGTTCTGCTGACTCTGAATGTGTGGGTTCTAACCAGCTGTAGTTAGCTTAAGTCCTATGTGTTTTAAATACTGTCTGTTTTCAGATAATCCAACTTCTGTTAATATTATTTACAAAAACCTAAAGGTATATCTGGCTGTGCTGAGCTTTGTCAGAAAATATGGCGGTGTGGCTTAAAGGCTGGCAACTACCAACAGCAAATTATTCAGTTGGATGTTTCCTTTGATTTTAATAGACAATTATTTATTGTAAAAGATGCAGTAACCTGATCATTAGCAAATCGATTGAATTGATTTCAACAGGGACAAGTAGGATGGGGAATTTTCTTGAGTACTGTGTATGAAGGACTTTCAGTAGTATTTTGGAGTGTATTTCCCTGGAGGAATATCTCTGTATTAACATACTGTTTCCCCTCAGTCTTAACCCTGTTGGTTTGCTGGTTAGTCTTGAATTATGTAGATTAATGTTTCATTACATGCTCAGATATGGTTGTTGTTACTCACCCATCATTACCTTTAGCCTATCTATCTCTTGCTCTGTGTAGCCATAGTAGACCTTCCTCATTTGTGAGGTAAAAAAAATGCAGGAAGATAATATTCATATTATGAGAAACTGTTGGAATCCAAGCCCACATGTTTTAAGGAGTGAGTGAATAAGCGTATATATGACAGCACACCAAAATTTCTCCTGCTCTAAAGTATGAGCAGCCAGGACAAACAGACCAAACAGCAGAGCCAAAGTCATAGTGGAAGCATGAGGCAGTACAGGGGATGGCCAAATCATAAAGCTTCCATGTTTGTTTATGTCTGTACATTAAACCATTTTACTGCTTCTCTGACAGTCAGATTCTTCCATTAAAGGTGCAGTTGCAGATAGGGGACCCATATGCCATTGGCTGGAGCTTTAGCTCTGCTGATGTAAAGTTTGTAAATACATGGATTTATTAACTTATTATGTTTTCTAGTTAATTGTTGTCTGCCTTACTAATGGAATATGCAGTTGTGCACCTTTATTGTTTTTTAAACCTTTTTGTTTAATGGTTATGAAGTTACTTCCTGAAGCATTGATAGATTCCTGTTATAAATCTGATCGCTGCCCACTGGAAGGAACTGAAGTAGATAAAGCTGATTTGCTGCTCTTCGTATGTGGGTACGATAGAGAGAGGGAGATGTATGAGTCCGAATAGACAGGGAAAAGAGCATTTTTGAAAGCTATGAGCATAAAGCTTAGCATGGAAGAGCACTATGGTCACTCAAAACAGTATTTCTTAAATCTCTAGGAAGAGACAGTTGAATGATATACTGAATTGTGCTGGTATTTTATGCCTAGCATTGGCTAAAGTCTGAATTTCTTCTTCTCAACATTGAATTTGTGATTTGTAGAATTCTAGGGACTTTCAAACCTGGTATCTGGATAGTAAATGGTTTCCTTCAATTAAGTTTTTACATAAGTGTACTTTTTAAATTTACTTGGCAATTCCCCTATTATTAGGGCATAATTGTAGTTTTGCACTATGGCTTATGCTTCCCAGACTTACTGGAGTACAGGAAACACGGGGGATATAATGACGTAAAATGACATGAAAATAAATGTAAATAAATGAGGTTTAGTTTAAAATGTGCCTGGGGCACTGGGCAGATAGCCAAAATGAGTTAAGCAGTGGGATTCTTAACATGAGTATCAGGGAAAGAAGCTATGGAGGTTAAGACTGTTTACTGTGTGGCCAATGGTTATTTGCTTAGACTTTAGTAGCGACTTAGTAGGTTTCATGATTTTTCCAGCTGAAATGTATAGTGACTTTAGTCCAGTTATTGACAAACTGACTGAAAAAGTCTTAATTTCTTACATAATATGTCAGAAAGATATATTAACATTATTGCAAATAAGCTGTTACTATAGTTTAGAAACTAAAACGGTAAATGGAAACATTACCACAGTTGTACCGTGATCTTGCTGCTTCCCTTTGGGTTGCAAAATGTATAATATACAACTTATTGAAGTTCCCAACGTGGAGACAGTTCTCAAACCTGGAATATACTAGTTTAGTCAATGTGATTTTTTTTTTTTTTTTTTTTTTTTTTGTGGTAGCTCTTATTGCTTATTATTTTGTAGTCATTTTTGCAGCACTCAGAATATGATGCATAGCTCTCCAGATATTGTAAAAAACAAACCAAACCCAAAAACCTATGCAGGGTTTTTCTGTGCCGGAGTAAGAGCAGCTGTACATAGTGTGAAGGAGAGAGATGGATGCTTGGACCGCATTGCTCTTTCTTCTGTGCCACACTAAGATTCTATTCACCTTGCAATGAATGATCCATCTTTGTTAGATCAGACAGGCCGGCAAGGCTTGTGTCAAAAGGGCTTTTTCAATTTGTTATCCTAGCAGCTGGTTCTCTTCCATTGCCTTTGCTTACTGTACATCTGGAAGAAGACTTCTTGCAGCTGGGAGCCATTTCATGTCTAAACCACATCCCCTGTCCATAGCAGAAATACCCTTTTGACAGCAGATGTCAAGCAAACCCTTAATGGGTTATTAATTACAAAAAAAAAAAAAAAAAATTAATCAGTGTTAAGTTTTGTACTGGATTTGCTTCCCTCTCATAACATTCATATCTCTA